TTTAAAATATTGCAAGTATTTTTTCAACTGCACACAATCTCATTAATCAAATTTCCAAAATTTTCATTTGTTTTAATGGTTCAGGTTGGCAATGAAGAAAGAGTTCATGTATACTATGCACATGGTGAAGATAGCCCAACCTTTGTCCGGAGGTGTTATTGGTTACTTGATAAGTATGTAATTATTACAGTTTACATGGATCCATTAGTGAATTCTATTCTTAGTACCAGTATCTCATATGAGACGACTCATATAGAGTAGTCTTACTGATGGTACTGTTTTTTTTCTTGTTGCAGGAGTCTAGAACATATAGTACTTGTTCATTACCGTGAAACACAAGAGGTGGTTTTTTTTGTAGCTCTTTTTTTTTTTCAAGTTCAATATGAAGCGCCTTCAAAATTTATGTTCATTTTTAGGGCATGAATAGTCTGTTATTGCAGTCTTAGAATATCTAGGTGCACACTATTTTCTTAGTTTTCAACAATTTTCTGTTTAGGGGTTTACGGTTAAGCATAGTGAGAACTTGGTAATAGCTTCACAAATAAGAGGGAGAACTTGCCCGTCTTTGGAACCAATTCTTTTTAGAAACCAACTAGAGCTTCTGACCTTATATGGGCTTGCTGTTGCTTACCATACAGGTTCAGGGTTCTCCGGTCACACCTGTGAATTCAAACTCTAGTTCTGTCTCTGACCCATCTGCTCCGTGGTTTTTATCAGAAGAACTTGATTCTGGGGCTAACAACGCATATTGTGCTGGTGAAAATGAGCTTCCAGGTGATGATGACTTATGTTATTCATTTTTTGTTTTGGAATAGGCTCCCATTTCGGGAAACCATAACAGAATTTGGAGTGTGGTGATGTTAGAAGAAATAAATTACTTTTCATGATAACAGTCGTTTTTCCATTATTACTTGATATTTTAATGATTCTTTTCTTTGTTTAGTGAAGGTTTGCTACTTCCTATTTCTATTTTTCTTGAAAACGGATATACAGTGTGCTTACTCTTGGGTTTTGATGATCTACAGAGCTTGGTGACAGGTTGACTGTTAATAATCATGAACAGAGGCTCCATGATATTAATACACTTGAATGGGAGGAACTTCTGGTTACAAATGATTCTAAAGAAAGTAAGTGATCAGATAACAGTTATTGCAATGGCGGAATTCAGAACGATGAAAATACTAACCATTATTCTCTCTCTCTGTCAATTCTTTGTGGTGGGGGATTTTGTGGTGCCAGAGCCAGACAACATTTCAGGCTATGACCAGCAGAATCAAGTCGTGGGAAATGGCTCCAATAGTGGTGTAAGTAGAATTACCTCATAATTCTTACTTTTTTACAGACCGTTTAATCTAGTTCTTCCACATTGACAATTTATTGTTTCTTATACACTTATGCATTTTATTATTCTTTATATCTTTGATCTGTAGTATGTGGTCACATATTGTTTTGTTCCAGCTCATTTGGATAAATGGTTCGTCTTTGCAGGGAGCCAGCAATTTATCAGCTGAAATTTCTTCTATTGGTAATTTAACAAATCCAACCACGGAGAGTGAAAGCATTCCGTTCAATCTTCCAGGCAGTCATGTTGAGACTGTGGGGGGTGAAGTGAATTCAAATGCCCAGAGAAGGGATTCTATTGCCAAGGAAGACAAGACAGTTTTGGATACTAATGGATTACATAGTCAAGACAGTTTTGGAAGGTGGATAAACGAGATCATGACAGACTCCCAACCTTCAGTGGAAGACCCAGTACTTGGTTCCTCACTTTCAGCTGCGCAAAATTCATTTGCTTCTCCCGCTATGGATCATCTTCAATCTTCTGTTCCTCAGCAAATATTTAACATAACTGATATTTCGCCTACATGGGCTTTTTCAAACGAAAAAACAAAGGTATCCTCTTTGCTTTAAACCCCATAGTGTACTGCTTAGCATAAATTTCAGCCTCTAATTAAGTCCTTTTGCAGATTCTAATCACTGGCTTCTTACATAAAGAGTTTTTTCATCTTGCAAAGTCAGATCTACTTTGTGTTTGTGGTGATGTATGTCTTCGTGCGGAAATTATTCAGACCGGGGTGTATCGCTGTTTTGTACCTCCACATTTGCCCAGAATAGTAAACCTTTTTATGAGTATTGATGGCCATAAACCCATCAGCCAAGTACTAAACTTTGAATATCGTGCTCCTGTTTTGAGTGATACAGTAGTTTCTTCAGAAGATAACAAGTGGGAAGAATTCCAAGTACAAATGCGGCTTGCTTATTTGCTTTTCTCCTCATCTAAGAGCCTTAACATTATATCTAATAAAGTGCCCCCGAATGCCCTGAAAGAAGCCAAGAAGTTTTCCCACAGAACCTCTCACATATCTAATAGCTGGCCATACTTGATGAAGGCAATTGAAGAGAACAAAACTCCCTTACCGCTGGCAAAGGATAGTCTGTTTGAACTAATTTTGAGGAACAGGCTAAAGGATTGGCTGTTGGAGAAAGTTGTTGAGGTCTCTAAAACTAAAGAATATGATGCTCATGGTCAAGGAGTAATCCATTTATGTGCTATTCTAGAATATACATGGGCTGTTCGCTTGTTTTCATGGTCTGGCTTGTCATTAGACTTTCGTGATAAACGTGGATGGACGGCCCTTCATTGGGCGGCATATTGTGGAAGGTATGGCATTTTTCTATTCAACATATATTTTAAAAATTTATAACCATTTGATAAATTATTGTGATGGGTATGGTTTTATAAATTCAGTTATTTGTTTTAAATTGTATTAGTCTGAAACATATCTTGTACGTCATTCACTAGTTAGATTTTCTGTGTTCCTTTGGTACTTGTATAGTAGAACTTTTCCAACTCTATCCTCTGCTCACGATAGCTTGAGCTTTATGTAGTAATTTTTATCTTCTTGATTTTGGGCGTATTTGTTTTACTTGCATCTGAAATTGTTACATGCATTCTGTGATAAGATTGGAAGCATATCTTCTGAGAGATTTTCTTAATGCTAAAACACTCGATGTGTAGGGAGAAAATGGTTGCAGTACTTTTATCTGCCGGGGCAAAGCCAAACTTGGTCACAGACCCCACGAAAGATAACCCTGGCGGATCCAATGCTGCTGATCTTGCATTCATGAAGGGCCATGATGGCTTAGCAGCTTATCTTTCAGAGAAGGCTTTGGTAGAACAATTCAAGGATATGCGCATGGCTGGAAATGCTAGTGGCTCTCTTGAAATTCGCTCAAACTATGCAGCAAACTCTGAGAACCTCAGTGAGGAAGAGCTATATCTGAAGGATACTTTGGCAGCTTATCGGACAGCTGCTGATGCAGCAGCACGAATACAGGCTGCCTTCAGGGAGAACTCACTTAAACAAAAGACTAAAGCGATTCAGTATTCCATTCCAGAGGCTGAAGCACGTGGTATTATTGCAGCACTGAAAATTCAACATGCCTTTAGAAACTATGAGGCAAAAAAGAAGATCAAAGCTGCTGCTCACATTCAATATAGGTTTCGTACTTGGAAGATGCGTCAAGAATTTCTTAGTTTGCGTCGTCAAGCTATCAAAATTCAAGTAAATCCTCTTCCCTTCTCTTCTTTCTGGTATAGTTGAAACGTCAATATAGCTGGTATGAACCACACAGGGACATAGACCAAATCCTTTTGGAAGATCAAATTTAAATAGGAAAGATTTAGTCAATCTACTGTCAGTCAGTCGCCACTAAAACATCTATGATTGGTCAAATTGCAACCTTGTTTGGTTTTCGGTAACTTTAACTTGGGTTGTTAGACATGACTAGGGCATGGAAATTGCAACTGGATTTGCGTAACCATTGTATTATTAACTCTTAAGAGTACAGGAAAAACCGGTTAATTGAACTGGCATTGTATGCAGGCTGCTTTTCGGGGCTTCCAAGTGCGGAGGCAGTACCGTAAAGTTCTCTGGTCAGTTGGAGTGCTTGAGAAAGCTGTTTTGAGATGGCGCTTCAAAAGAAGAGGGCTTCGTGGGCTTAAGGTGGCCCCAGCTGAAGTCAGTGCAGATAAGAATCCGGAAAGTGATACAGAAGAAGACTTCTACAGGGCCAGCCGGAAACAAGCTGAAGAGCGTATTGAAAGATCTGTTGTACGTGTTCAGGCCATGTTCCGCTCAAAGAAAGCACAACAAGAATATAGTAGGATGAAGATGGCCCACAATGAAGCAACGGTGAGTGATCTGGTTTGGACCTTCTTTCAGGGTTACATTACAATTCTGCAGATACATAAACCAACCAATTCTTTTTATCTTCCGCAGCTGGAATTTGATGATTTTCTTGATCCTGATGCAATCATGGATAATTGAAGAAACTTCGGAGGTCCGGACGGGCAATTGATAACATTTGAGGGGTTGTGCTCTCTGCTTGTGTAGCCTGTACATCTTGTAAATGCCTAGAACAATTAGTTATGTGCTTTAGACCCTTTCAGACCGTTTTTAGGATTGTTGGGAAGGTCTTTCAGTGTTGTATGATCAGGAGCCGGTCCTAATACGTTGCTTCTCGGCTTTTAACGTCATTGTGAACGTTATGAGCACCAGATCTTCCTTATAAATTCAGTGTTTTTAAGCTTCTTCCGGGCACAACATTTTGACATGGTTCCAGATGTTCTCGTCGTGTCCGAAAGATGGTTTTCTTCGTTTGCTTTGTTTGGTTCTTTTTATGCAAGTGATACTAGTTCTTTAAGATCTCGGTTGATAGGAATAAATGCACTAAACCACTTTAGCTATAAGCCGCAAACCATATGCATCCGTTATAACCCGTCAACGACCATGAGGCAGAGTAGACAATTAATCTAGCTACTGGTTTGGTGCACAATTGATCTTCACAGGTATGGGCCCGGTGCAACTTAGGGAGACAATATGCTTACTGAATGGTTGGTTGTGAGAGGTGGTCACAATTACCAGGAGTTGCCTAACTAAATGGCAGTACCAGCATGATTCAATTGCAGTCGAAAAAGGAAAGCATAGATGCAGGCAGAGTTGACAATCTGTAAATATTTATTGCTTCTGCAATCTAGTTACCAATACAGAGTAAGGAAACTAACACATCTATCCAGAACACAAAATAGCAATTGAAACGAGGGCACTCTAGGTTCCGAAGCAAAAACTTGCTATCTAAGATAACATATCCACTTTACATGAGCACCGATGCATAAATAGCCAACGTCAATTCAACCGGAGAGCATCAGTGGCAGGAAAGCCACTGTGTCCATCGCTTGTGGCATAGTTGCTTGCCCATTCATCCCTATTTTATGTATTGTGAAAGCCACTTGAAGCCTTCACCGTACCCCATCTTGCGGACAATGCTGCACATGAACACCTCAAGCGGGCGGACATTGGAATCGGTCAGATTGACCTTCCCCTTGCCTGTGGTGAAGTTAGTCAGGCCCAAATGGTAACGCAGCTCATCCTCTGATGCAGCATAAGGTATGTCGATCTTGTTTCCCAAAATAAGAAACGGGACAGTTGCCAGTGACTCGTCGGAGAGTAGAGCATCAAGCTCCTTCTTTGACTCTGCAAATCTCTCCTTGTCGTAAGCATCAACCAGGTAGACCACAGAATCCACCTAAACAATCAAACGATTGTAAAACATCTATGAATATATGCCCATCACATAAAGCAAAATCTTGATCTAATCCCCGATGTGAAATTATTGTCCTAGGTTCGACACTCACAAGTCACCCTTTACACCTAAAATCAATCGAATAATAAATAAACAATCAATTGGCATTATAATAAGCAGAAGAACCAAACTCTTGACTCCAACCCCGCACCTACAACTACAACTTCAAGCGACTAGGAATAAAATCTCACGGAATCCACTGAATTTCACACCCATGGATGCAACAACAAAACCGCGGTGTTGCTTAAATATTCATTCGGTCACTAGCAAGGTTAAAAACCATCATTCAAAACTCCAATGGGGCTTCAACCCATTGCATATAAGCACACACAAATACCACACCATCCGCACGTATATGCATTTTTCATATTTTTTTGGGTTTAGGATCGAACATCTACAACATGCAACCACGATTTCGAAAAATAAATCAGATCAGACACTAAATTAGCATACCAAAAGTAAAGGAAGTGATATTTGAACAAATAATTGAAGTAAAATTTCAACCTTGGCGTAATAGTCCTTCCAAACTCTGCGAGCGACCTGATGCCCTCCCAAATCAAAGGCCTTGAACTTAATCTTCCCAATACTCAGCTCCTCCGACGTCGGATGCTGCGTCGGTTGGTGCTGAACTAATCTCTGCAACCACCAAATCATAAACCCTAATTTCTTCAATCCAAAATTCAACAACAATAATTTGAAATTAGCAATAAAAGAATTCAAATAAATCAAAACCTCGTCTTTGAGCATGTGAAGCAAGGTGGTCTTTCCGGCATTATCGAGCCCTAAGAACAAGATCTTGGCCTCCTTCTGCCATAGCCCAAGCGACGCCAGAACTCCATAGAACCAATCCACCAGAAACATGATTTCTTCTCTTCTCTTTTAATCGGAGCAGAAATTCAAATCACTGAGATTTTCAATTTTCGAGTGATACAAAAATTTAATCGAGATTTTCCCAAAAAAGTGACGGAAAATCCTAATTTTCTGTTTTGGTTGGCATTTTCAAAGATTTTCCGGGAAAACTATGTATTTATATGGCACTGTCAGAGTGCGTAAGCTGGACTGGGGTGTGACTGCTTTGGTAGGTAAGCGGAAGGGGTTTGGTGACGCACGGTGGTGACGTGGAGCCGGTGGATAGGACGGGTGACTGGGAAATGCCGGTTTAGGGAGTGCGGATCCTACGTGGAAAGTTGTTATTGGATGGTACGCGTCATTAGGTTGTGTCCTCGTGTGCCACCATCGATTTGGAAATTGGTAAACAGGTAGGGTGGTAAGATACCACTCTTGTCCTTGACATTAATGCACACGTGGAGTCAGCTTAGGGCATGGTAGAGTAATTATCCACTATAACGCAAAGCACCAAATCATCACTTTTTATGTCTTTATTCGAATTTTTCAAAGGAACGTATCATTTTCCGGAGGATCTCGGGATTTGCATAATTGTAACAAATCATTGTATATCGCACGATCAGTTTTCGCTAGTTATTATTTATATTTAATTTTAAATTTTAAATTTTAAATTTAAAATGATTTTTTATTGCACGATATACGATGAATGATCACGATTACGGAATCTTTAGAATCCTCAGGAAAAGAATCCGATGAGGATCATTTTCCATTTTTAAATGACGAGTTTCACATCAATTTATTTATTCACCCATTAGTTTAATATAACATATAACCGACTAGATATATTTGGTTGATAAGAGTGGCACTTAGGCCATCTCCAACCGATGGCTGGCCAGAGGGCTCGTTTTAGCCCTCTGGCCCTTCAAGATTCTCCAAGATATTAATATTTTAATGAACAGTACAGGGCCATATTTGCCTCCGTCTCCAACCGAGGGCCAGAGGGCCAAACATAATTTATTATTTAAAAACTACAATTTAAATTCAAATCTAACGGCTAGGTGACGTCAACATGATGTCAGCTAGCCGTTGGTAGCTGACATCATGCTGACGTTAGCTAGCCGTTGGATTTGAATTTTTTTTGTTATAAATATGGTGGATATTGGGCTATAATTCACACAACTTTAAATTCAATCTATTTCAATTCAATCTCTTGCAATTCAATCTCTTTCAATTCTTCAATTCAAGTTTGCAATGAATTCCAAACTTTTGGATCTTCATCCAATTCTAATTGGGGGTCCTCATCCAATTCCAAATTGGAAGCAAAATGGGCGCAAATGAGACGAGAAGATGAGGAGTCTGATGAAGAAGCTGAAGTAAGGCGCAACACACAAAACATGGCAGCAGCCATGGCTGCGGCCATGGTGTGTCAGCCAACTGAGGAACAACCTCAATGGGGTGGCTCTGTTGCTAGTCGCTCTTACAAACCACGAGGTGCTATAGAATGATACGTTCTCGTGCCACAAATACGTACCTACAACAGGATCTTGTTGCACATCTTTGGGCCAAAAGAAGCATGGAGTAGGCTTTTAAGTTTTATGTTGTTAAATGTTTTTAAAAATGTTGTTTAAGTTTCATGTTGTTAAATGTTTTTTTATGTTGTATAATTTGTATGTTGGTTAATGTTATTTAATGTTATTTCATATTGTTTAATGTTGTTTCATGTTACTTAATTTAATTTAATGTTGTATAAATGGCCTAGGAAAAAAATAGAATTGAAAAAAATTATGAAACAAATTTTGTGAAATAGAAGTTATAGGAAATAAAATATGAATCAAATTTTGTAAAATAGAAGTTATAGGAAAAAAAATAGAATTTAAAAAAAAATTGAAACAAATTTTGTAAAATAGAATTGAAAAAAAATATGAAACAAAATTTGATTAATATGAAAAGGAAAAAAAAAGGGAAAAAAAAAAGTTAAAAAAAAAAAAAAAAAAGGCCTAATAATACAACGGCTACTAGCCGTTGTATTAAAAAACATTCAAACTATTAGTGTCGGTTATAACCGACACTAATAGTAGAACTATTAAAAAAAAAATAAAACCTGTTTAATGCTGTCGGTTTAACCGACAGCAATAGAAAACATTAAAAAAAAAAAAAGCCAGCCCGGGGCTGGCTGGCTGGCCGAAAGCAGCCAGCCCTCCAGCCCTCCAGCCCTCTTCGATCCCGTGGGGCCCTCCCAGATTCCAGAGCCCTCTGGCCTAGCCCTCGGTTGGAGACGGTTTTAGGGCTATTTTCAGCCCTCTGGCCCTCTGGACCATTCGGTTGGAGATGGCCTTAGAAGTGAGCTCGAACTCGAGTGTAAAGAAGAATGTTCTCAATTGAGTTACAAAGCCCGTTGAATGGTTTTGTAAGACACAATTTCAAATTTCACGTCAAACGCTAAATAGAGTGATTTTGGTTATCTGAAACCGCTCTTAGCCATTCCAAAAGCAAATCTCCAACAAGAAGAATCCATGCTCATGGAAATGACAATTGAATCCATCACTAGAAGGGAAATATGGATTAAAAAACAAAGAATTCCAAAAGTAAATGAATATGAAACTGCTGAGAACCAAAAACATTGTGTAATAGTTCATCAGAAAAAATCACAATATTGTTCAGGAAGCACAGATTTAAAATCGAACATTGCGACAAATGATATACCATGAGTTGTTAATCCATCAATCCGATCAAACTCGAATAAGAAATCCCTCTTCCATTATAATTGTGGTCAGAAACTACAAATTCGCAGGAAAATTTACCACACATACTGAGCAGAAATGTTATCCACCTACACTAATCTCTATTTGATATATTGGGAGACCCACTTGAAGCCATCCCCGTACCCCATCTTGCGCACGATACTGCACATGAAAACCTCGAGAGGGCGAACAGTGGAGTCTGTAAGATTCACCTTCCCCTGCCAGTTGTGAAATTGGTCAGTCCTAGATGATATCGCAGTTCATCTTCTGAAGCAGCATAAGGGATGTCAATCTTGTTGCCCAACACCAGAAATGGAACAGTTGCGAGGCTCTCATCTGAAAGGAGAGCATCCAGCTCCTTCTTTGATTCTGCAAAACGATCCTTGTCGTATGCATCAACCAGATAAACCACTGCATCAACCTGTTCACAGCGGAGAAAATGGAAAACTTGCAGCAATTAGGATGTAAATCAGCAAAATCCAAGAGAAATTCAAGACAACTTAAATTCTCTAACAACAATCACGGCCAAGAATATGGACCATAAACGCCATACGACAAACTAGAAACTTGAGAGAAAAAAGGAATTATGGAACTTAATATATTTGGTCAAGGAGAGGTTGGAGCAGGAACTGAGAATTTTATATGGAATCATGAAGCGGTGAGACTTGGTGTATCAAGGGGAAATCAAAATGAATGCAAGCATGTAGCTACTAAGCATCTATTCTGATAAAGAAGTCATCAAGTCTGATCCAAAATAAAATCACAATAGATTGGTTCACTTGCAAAGAGAAGCAACCACAACTAAATCTTCCAATGTCTGGAATAGCGGAGTCATAAAGTCCACTTTCCATAATATAGTTGTCTTCTCTTTGTTCACTCTTCTTGATGAATGACTTCTCCATTAGGAAGCATGGAGAAGGTTTATGAAGTGATTTATTAAAACTAGATAGCATGGACGTGGATACGTGACTTTTGAAAAGATAGGACTCTTGCAAAATTAAAGGTCCAGACTCTGAATCATAGAAAATTGAGTTGAAACAATTTCCCATATGTTGGAAAGAAACAGGAAAATAATAGCAGAAAAACACGGATAGAAGGAGACGGAGAATAAAGGTTCATTTGGTTTAGTGTGTTTAACCAGACTCTGATGTTTTTATCAAATGTAAATAATCACTGTCAAGTTAACTCACAAGGAAATGTTTTGTGACTTGTTCGTAATGAGAGAGTAAGTTTTCAACTCTAAGACCAAGCCACAATCATGAAGCATGATGGCATTTTTAAGGACATCACGTCTGGAAAGATACTTAGTAAAATACCTCCTGGTAAAAAGAAAAGAGGTGCTCTCTGCAAAACCTCCACCGTAAATGTTTGCCTCCCATGAATCAGATAAACTCAAGGAAATTTCATCCGGGATTATGAAGGCAAAACATGCTGACCAGCGGGTGCAAACAAATGTATTGCAACCCGATTGTTGGGTTAGAACATGTATGCAGACAAGGAGCTACAATATAATCATAATGTACTGCGCAACAAAGACAAACATCGAAATATAGAAATAAATGAAGTTTGAAACAACCTGTCCCAAGTTGAAATCGATCGAAATCTCAAAAACTACAGCATTGTTGATATTTTCGAATCGAAAAAACATAACTTCCACTCAATCAAAACAAAACAAGAGATCACGATTCACATACAAGTAGTGGCCGGAGTTATAGTGAAAGTATGAAGTTCATACACCAAAGCAATATGCGGATAAAAAATTCAGCTGAAAATTACTATCCAATCAAATTCCAACACTACCAATTCAACAAATCTAATACCTTAGCATAGTAATCCTTCCAGACTCGCCGAGCGATCGAGTGTCCGCCCAAATCAAAAGCCTTGAACTTAATCTTCCCAATGCTCAGCTCCTCCGACGTGGGATGCTGGGTCGGCTGGTGCTGCACCAATCTCTGCAACAAACCCACCACCGCATTCACACTCATTCGTCAAAAACAACAAAAAGCCCCACCCAAAATCAAACCTCGAAAAGCCGAAAACGAGGAGGGAGAGAAAGAGAGTCAAACCTCGTCCTTCAGCATGTGGAGGAGGGTCGTCTTGCCGGCGTTGTCGAGGCCCAGAAAGAGAATCTTGGCCTCCTTCTGCCACAGGCCGAGGGAGGCGAGGACGCCGTAGAACCAGTCGAACAGAAACATGGCGGCGGCTGATTCTTCTCCGGGAGCAGATCGATCGGCGGGGTTGTGAGGGAAGTAGGAAAAAACCCACAAGGAATCGGAGGATGAGGGATCGAATCGGAGGGGGGGGGTTTAATAAATGGGTTTGTGGTGATTTGTCGTTTCGGTGGAGACAAGCGAATCCAGTTCGGCGGTACAACTGGAGGAGCCTGGACTCTGATGCCTTTGCTTACCTATAAATATACTATG